ACAAAACATTGAGAATCTTCAGAGAAGGAAAAAAAGGTAAGGAGCGTAGAAAAAACGATAACGAACAAATTAGTGTAAGGTAGTGTAATAATAATAACGGGGGAAACAAACGTACACTCAGAAGAGATCCTTCAGTCAAGGAAGAAGCAACCACTTTTTATGAAGAAAGTAAAAGGTTACAGCAGGATCGCCAGTGGCTTCTATTCTGAGCCATATCTGATAACGTCTCTACTCGAGAACGTTTAGACAGAACCGAATTTCCACCATAGACGAGCTGCTGTATAAGTCGAAAAATAAGGATAGACAGAGTAGGAATAAAAGAGAGTGAATAAATGACGTAGTAAATAATAACAATAGTAATAATAATAATGTGAATCGTTTGACTAATAGTTGAAGCAAGAAAAGTATTTTCCATAATTATCGACAGTTCATCATATTTGTGTGCGGGCTGTGATACTGCTCGGATGCCCAGACCGAAGCAGGTGGTTATCTTAGGGGGCCACACCCCGAGCCTTCGACCTGAAGGTCTGATCCACAAGGCAGTGGAGCATCGTAAGGAAATGCCGTCCCATGGTAGCCGGTGACCAACGATTGGTTCATACGCCATTTGTTCCCTCAGGATACTGGAGCCCATGTGCACCATTGGTTTGGAACCTGGTTAAAGCGCCGGACATTCGCTTTTCATCCTCTCATTTTTGTAAACAACACCCCCGCCACGAGAAGGCAATGAGTAGGACTTCCCTGACAGAGGCTGTATACGCGTGGCCGTGTGAGAGCATTTTTGCTACAGTACTGTCCGGTGTTAATATTTGCTCTGTCTATAGCAAGTAATATGGCTGATCATTTCTATCTCTTGTAAAAGTATTCACAGACCTTATGACCAACAAAACCTGCATCATATTTTGCGTAGGCAGGATATCTATGTGAAATATGGTCTGATACTTAGGATATTCACAGGTTACTAATATTCGACCTTACATTTCTTCATGTATAGTGACTTTTCGTATTGTGGTGTTGAAGTTAAACCTAATATCCTAGGTAAGTATAGAAAGTCGGTGAGTTAAGCTAACGTAGCTGGGACGCGTTACATTTCCTCGGCCACTGTCTACTTCAATTGGCAATGCTAGATACCATGCGATTTTGATGAGATGTTAAAGGATTTCAAACCAAGGTGTGGCATTTGTCAATATCCAGACCTTATGTTGAAAACGACTGACTGACTTCATGATTTTCATTACTGATGGATTAGTTGACTGCTCATTCACGCAGTCATCAGTGGTCGTTACCATTATAGGTTCTATGACTTAGATATTATGGTAAGTTTAGTGTCGCCTGCTTTCAGTATATCGTTCTCCTCACGATGGCGTACCTTATCCAGGAGTTGGACGTGTTGAATTGGCACGCGGTATCCAAATATATTTTTCGCATATGTTAAATTTTCTAAAAATCCTTGCTAAACATGTAAACACAACGATTACGATTGTTTAAGTGATAATCGTTAAGTGAAATAACTTTGTTTAAAAGAAGTTACATAATCGCTTATGTGTATTGCTTTTTACTGTTACTTGAAATTGTAACTAGTGTATCGTAGCATTTGTGTGTAAACACTTAAAATCAGTATTCTTTTTACCATAATCTCATTAAAAACATTGGTTTTAATTAGCTTAATCTTATCTTACATCTACAGGTTACGTTTGTCTTTTGACAGTATCATAATGAATCGTGGTTTAACTGATGCCACTATAAAGTAATTTTTTGCTAAACTAGATAATTCTTAGGAATCATTTACAAGCAAAAGATTTAGTTGTATGTAATGAAATTTCTACGTCGTTAGATGAATTTAAGTAGGTTTAATCTTTCTCCAAGATCATCTTTAGAAAATTCCTCACTCAACAAAAAAATATCGTGAAGAGTTGGCTGGCTTGTCTTATTGTGAATTAATCACCTTACGTGATGATCTCAAAACTGTTAGTCAACAAGTGTCTTCTTCAATATCCAGCCTCCGACATACATCTACAGCAATTTCACGCTTAAAAACAGATGTATTAAAGGTGAGACAGTGTTCGCAATTTTTTCGAATAACGTTTTTATACAAGGAAGAGAAAAATGCTGGCATAGCCCATAAAACATCTGAACATGGACTGAGTATTAAAAATGATAATAATGAACTGACAAGGTATACAGTTATAAACAAATTATTCTAGATCTAGTTATTTTATGAAAAAGATCTCTGAATTTGATACAAGAATCCGATTGTATAAACATGAGTTAGAGGTATTTGAAGAGAATGTTTATTCTCAGCCACTGACTCCTATGACTCCACGAGGTAACTATTTTCTTGATATAAGTACATTTTCATATTACAGACCTTCTTAATATTCTGCATCTAATCGATCATGATTTTATCAATCTTGCTGCTCAGTTGTACACTACACATGAAAACATAAAGGTATGTTTGTAGTGTTCATTCTTGTTAGAGCAATGCATTGTGTTATTCACATAACTATTTACAGATTTGTTATCTCTGAAGGTGACTGCTAAGTTATTTGCTAGTCTCGGGTTTATTGATAAGTGTAGAAATCTTAACTAAAATCTACAAAATTATAGTTATTTGTGGTTGAAGCCAAGTGATACAAAGCACTGGTTTATTAATCGATATGTTTAGCCTTCAGCCTGTTCGCCTTAGGTTTTAAATCCGCCTCATTTAGTTTGGTTTAGGTAGCAAAGTAATGTCGCTACGCTTTACGCAAATAGTTCAATGCCAAATATACAAGTATATACATATATTTGCGAAAATTATGGTTGTTAGTTTTACCACGTTTTAATGTTTGTTTTTCTCATTTCTGTGTAGGCAATAAAATCAAACTACTTAAAAAAGTATCGTATGTGTTATGGTTCAGCTCGCAATCCATTCGGCGATAATGATGACTTTCATTTCAAGAGTCAAATAGAAGTTGATAATTTATTTGGAACAGGATTAAGTAAGGGAAAAATCGGTTCATCATTCTCCACTCCATATGGTCCTTCTCCATTCCCAACATCAGAAACACCTACTACATCCAATTCAATCGGTAGTGTTGAGAAAACTTCAATTATTCCGTCAGCACCTTCTACTACAATTTCAAGCAGTGTATTGTCGAATCAGCAGTTTGGTATAGCTTCATCTTTCCAGCCTGGTATGTTCACGTACAGTAATTAATATTTCCTAATAATCGACACTCGTATTAATGACCAGTGTAGATTTTAAAAGATCTAATTTACCTAACTGTATATAGTCTAAGGTTGACCGAACACTGAAACTACCATATAACGATGTGTTTGTCAACAGGATTCTTATGATAGACGAAACTAGTTAGATCTAACTATGGACAAAATATCAATAACAAAGTTAGGTCAAGTGGTTCAGGATTAGCAAAGAATCACTCATTTTCAAAACGGATAATTTGAGGGTAGGTACGGTTCACCCCTATGATTTTAGACTACTCGGCAACGAACAGCGAGATGGAATTATCGGACAGATGCATAAGCATTAGTAACATCAGTGACAAAAAAGTAGGCATCAACGATATGATTCGACATGGAATAGATCCCTAGAAGACAAAATAATTTTGGAGCTCGGGAAGGTGAAGTGGATGCTTTTGCATCATTATGACGAATCATGAATTGTGTTACCCAACATCTGTAACTGTCAGTCACAGCAACTAGATAACCTGGATTCGCACAAAGCAAAAACTTCCCTTTATGTCAACACAATTGTGTCTATAAATTAAGATGTCAATTGTGGTGCCTTCTATGTTGAAGAGTCATCTATCTTGTGGAATCTCGACTCGAGCCAAAGAAGATCTAAGGCACTTAAAGAAACCGCCTAATAATCCCGTACAACTAAAAAGACTTCCAATTAAATCGGCAGCAGCAATTCGTGCCATTTTTAATAACCATCAAGTCGATATCAAAGACACTAAAATAATACAAAAAGGCTTTTCCAGCTACAAAGAAAGACGAGTAGCCGAAACTCCATATATTGTTTAATTCTACTGCCCTCAATAGAAAACAAGGCCTCACTATCCATCCGACTTGGACCATTTATCCGAGCTACCTTGTCTAATTCTATCCACATCTCACACTATTATTATACGCACAAATTCAGCTCCACTCGTTCGCACCACAATTATCTCATTTTTTCATCCTTTAACATACGTACACACGCACAAAAGTCCAAAAACGCTTCATATAAATCACCTTGACTGGAATTAGATTGACCTGGTCAGACCTGTTTTTGATTGATCGCACCAAACATTCCTACTTTGTTCCTTTGAACTATTTAAACTTGGGTTAATTTAATTTATTTCTTTATTCTCTGAAGTGGCTCACACCGAGTCACAAAATTCATTGGGATATTACAAATATATAATTTTCATTATTAACAATCTACCCAATGTTCAATTTATTTGAAATTATCAAGTCAAACCTTAGTAATGGCACCTATCGCAACATAATCGTTTGACATCGACTTACAGTCAGATATTCTTAAATACACCAATACCTAATCGTATCCAGGTTTACTCAAAACATGATTTCTATCTAGAACAAAACACTTATCATAAAATTTACTCTGAAGTCTTAACAACTGTTAACTCAATTCTTTCTATCTTTGTAATTGTTCTGTGTCTGATAAACTTCTTGTTCTCCATTTTTCAGCATCCTCCGTACTTTCACAAATAGGTTCATTGACTGGTGGAGCTCCTGCTTTGAATTCAACTGTTACAACAACTGGTTTAGTCAAATCAGCATTCGGATTTCAATCACCACTAACTACTTCAACAACAAGTTTTGTTGGTAAAATTGGACTATAACTTCTAGTGTGAAAGGATTGGTTTCTTTTCTAGGATTTTGAATCAAAAGTACATGCCAGAAAATTTTATCTATTTTAACGTGTCTAGTAATGCATATTCCGATAGACTTGTGTCATAATTGTATATACATTTTTTCGTATCACTAATGCTGATTTATCGAAATAACTTCTTATTTTTGTGCATTCTTCAAAAGAAACTGGGGTAGTAAAAATAGTAGCAGGATTCAAGATACTAAACCTTTGTGAGTGTCGATTAATTCATACGATCCAAATGTAGTGTTTTGCATCCCGTAACTAATAGGCAACTAGAAGCTATTAGTTTATGTTATATTCCTAAGATTATTGTTGTATTGAGACTCAAAATTTAGTATATATAGTTCGTACTTAATAAATGAGTAGTTATACACTATACTATGTCGCAATTAACCATCGCTTAACAATAAACGATATGAAAAGTATTGAACTATTTAAAAAAAAATAATAACCATATACTACAAATAAAAGCAATCTATTTTTTATATATAGACAATTAATGTACAACAGGATTAAGAGGTTCAGCACGCAGTTGTGAAAAATCAATTCGCCTGTCTAAATCTTCATCAAGTTCTCCGACTACAGCCCTGAAAAATAGCATAATACGAATAAATCTTGCATTATATAAAGTTTCAACCTCAGAACTAGTAATTTTGTAACTAACGATGGCTTTATATCACATTGAACTTACACATTCTGTCCTCGAATAATAAATAAACCCAATGGGACTTGCTCAACACCTTCAGTTGGACTGAAAACTCTTTCATGGCTATCTTTGATAACAAGATTGACGACATTATCAAATCCTTTTAATGTACCCTAGTAAATGAATAATTTTATTAAGATTAGCGAGAATGACAAGGACGGTAAACAAAATAATACATCATTCATATAGAAATTCATGTATTATGTTATAACCCGTATATCGTTAATGAATAATAAAAAGCTTTATTAGATTCACCAGGAAAATGTAGACAAGGTTATATAAACGAAAAGATCATCATAGCTTGTCGGAATATTTATACAAGAATATATATAAATACTAGATATTGACTGACGGGAGAATTTGATGAAGAAGGTTTACAAATTACTGATGCCGAAAAGAGATGAATCAGTCGATATTAAAAGGGTGTATGTTTAACGACTAAGTATCACAGAAGATTCGGTTAGTTGTTATCAACGCAAAAGAAGGGAAAGATGACATTAACTCTAAATTCGAGGGAGAGTATAAAGCTCACACACTACAAACATGCTTTATATGAGTAATCTTAATTTCTCTAATCTTCGTATTTCATTGATAAAACTAAATATTAGTAGATTAACTGTCCTCTAGTTTATTGATTCATACTCAGTCTACCCTGGCATATTAGACAGGCTTTTGTGCTTGTCTGAGCTACTAATTAACTGTTGTTGTGGTTGAGCTCGATAACTTGTATGTTATTTTAGCATAAACTAATTATTTGTTGTAGAATCATCTAGTATTTATAAATATATTCTTGTATAAATATTCGAAGAAGCTATGTTAGTCTTTCGATTTATACAACCTTCGTTATATTATCTTTGTAAATCTAACAAATTCTTAATATTATCAGAATGGGTTTTGTGGAGATTTTTAGAAATTTCACAAGTTGAACTCATGAGCCAATTGAAGCTAGACCACCATGGAAAACCTGGAAGCACTGGACGGCCGTTTCATCCTAGTATGGGACTCCTCAGCAGTGCGCATCCACGATAGGATTGGTTGAAGTTAGACATTAACACCGTTGGATGCCGGCTCAGTGGTCTGATGGTTAACTGCTCGCGCGCGAAACCAGTAGGTCCTGGGTTCGAATCCCGCGGGGGGCGGGTCCGTGGATGCGCACTGCTGAGGAGTCCCATACTAGATGAAACGGCCGTCCAGTGCTTCCAGGTTTTCCATGGTGGTCTAGCTTCAATTGGTTCATGATTTCAACTTGTGAAATTCTTAATAGTTGAAGTTGTTTTTGTAATTATTTAAATGACAAGTATATTGCAACTGGTTGTCTTTCTATCGCAATGAATTATTATTTCATTCACTCATAATCTAATTTTGATTATCCTACCTGTAAAAAAATATTTCCTTCCTCATCCATTCATTACCGCTTTGCTTTTGATCGTACATTTTCTCTTGTGTATGCTAACACTTTCACGTTTGATTATTTTTTTTTTGGAACAATTTACTTAAATTGTTTCCATTAATTACTAGTATTCTAGCTCAATATAACTATGTTACTACTTGTTCACTTATAGTTGATCTGGTAAATTTTTGTTTGTTTTATTCGAAATTAGCACTTCTTTTGACTATTTTTTCTATGGCAAACGTGATTCAACTAAACTGAATATCTGGAAGCACTGGGCCGCCGTTCCGTCCTATTGTGGGACTCCTCAGCAGTGCGCATCCACGACCTCACCCCCCTGCTAGACTGGAACCCAGGGCCTACTGGTTTCGCGCGCGAGCAGTTAACCATCAGACCACTGAGCCGGCATCCAACGGTGTTAATGTCTAACTTCAACCAATCCTATCGTGGATGCGCACTGCTGAGGAGTCCCATACTAGGATGAAACGGCCGTCCAGTGCTTCCAGGTTTTCCATGGTGGTCTAGCTTCAATTGGCTCATGATTTCAACTTGTGAAATTTCTAAAAATCTACTGGTTTCGCGCGCGAGCACTTAACCACTGATCTGGCATCCAATGGGGTGAGGTCGTGGATGCGCACTACTGAGGAGTCCCACGATAGGACGAAACGGCCGTCCAGTACTTCCAGGTTTTCTATGGTGGTCTAGCTTCAACTGACTCATGATCTTAACCATTGAAATTACTATAATATCCACAAAACCCATCTGATATTAATCAGCATATGCTCACTAGTGACTGACTTCAAAAGCTATTTCCTGGAGTTCTAGTGAGAAGCAGTGACCAGTGGAGTTCAACCAGGTCTGTTGTGAGATAGTAACTCACTGAAGACAATGGTCGATGTATCTCTCAATCTCGTGGATTAGTTGAAGTTAGATATTAAAACCGTTGGATGCAGGCTCAGTGGTCTAGTGGTTAAGTGCTTGCGCGCGAAACCAGTAGGTCCTGGGTTCGAATGTCTCAGGGGGGCGAGGTCGTTGGTACGCACTACTGAGAAGTTCCACAATAGGACGAAACGGCCGTCCAGTGCTTTCAGGTTTTCCATGGTGGTCTAGCTTCAACTGACTCATGATCTTAACCATTTAAATTGAACATATAAATACATGCAATTTAAAATACTCCACTTACCACAATAGTTCTTCCATCTGATGTTATAACATTTACCATTCCTGGTACATATAAAGAAAATAGTTAAAGAAAGTAGAATTTCCTAGATGATAGATATGCAATATTAATATTCTGTTTACTGATCCACTATAATTGATTGCATGTACATTCTACGAACATAGATTATACATGCAATATTTGCTGAATACGTTCAAAGTTATTGTAACGAAAGTAAGCGAAATTAGAAAATAACTTGAATGAAAGAAAAAAACTAATATGCATAAATTACAAGATTTAGTGTACAGAAGGTAACTTTTATTGGCCATACAGTCGTTTTCGGCTGGAATTTTGAATTATCTAATCTGTTAAGAATTAACAGCTATGTTAAAACTATGAGCTGAGTTGAATGGTGGTTAGCAGCAAAATCCAGGACGCGCATTTCCTATGTGGGACGTATCAGCTGGATATATCTGCATCCTAGAGTTGATGCTTACTTTAATCCTCAAATCCAGTACCGTTCACTTTGAACGTCACTTAGCCACTGAATGAAGATAGCCACTGGCTTGTGTAACGGATCCTGTTGCATTCTTTCATTTACCTAATTAAATAGATGTAGTAAGGTCCTTAAATGAAAAGCTAATGGATTTTGAAGTTATCAGATAGTTGGAAAAAACAACGTAGGCAAACCAACGTAGAATTGTACTTGTCTAATATGTGCATACTATTTTACATCAATATAGTGAAATTATATTCGCAAGACAAGGCAAATAAGATCGAATGGATGGAAAGGATGAAATAATATGATTCAAGAAAATAAAAATATATAGCTAAATGATGTAGAAAGAAACCACTATCACTACATCCTCCTCCTCCCACTAATACTGTGGTTGATTTCGAACCAATAAACACCAAATTTTTAACCGACAAGAAAAAGGATACGACCAACATATGCTTCTAACTCAGACGCCATAAATCAATACCTAAAAAATGCAATAAATCAAAATTATGAAATGACTGAGAATTCCAACAAAAATACATCAAGAAAAGAAAATAACAATAAAATATATTTAGCTTCCTCTGAAATCTGAAGGTCTTCATAGATGGATCCTCCAAATCCACCAATCCGGTTTAAGTGCCCGACATTCGAGCTCCACCCTCCCATTCTCACTACCAACAACCCCGGTGTAAGAAGGCAGTGAGTAGAAGGGAGGGTTAACTCTCCCCACCCTCGACTAGACCAGGGAATTTGGGGCCCTAGTCCATGTTGTTGCATGATATCTTCATATCCGGTGTTGTCCATTCCGACTTTGACGTTTAGATCTCCCATCAGGAGAGTCAGGTCGTTTCCTGAGCACTTCGCTATGATCGATTGCAGCCTCTCGTAGAACTGATCTTTATTATCGTCATTGCTATCATTGGTGGGTGTATAACACTGGATAAGATTCATTGTGATTCCATCCTTTCTTGTTTTGAAAGATGCTTTGATAATCCTGGATGCATCAGATTCCCTTCTTATAAGTGCTTCACGTGATTCTATGGACAGCATCAGAGCAACTGAGTGTGAAGCATTTTCTCCTTCGTGACTCTCACGAATCTAACCTTTTATGTCCAGTTTAACTCCAATGGGTTTCGCTGATTCCGAGAAAAGCTAAGTTGTATCCCCTCATTTCCGGGACATAAGCCCCGTGAATTTCGAAAATCTCAGCTTTCACCAATTGCCTTCATAACTCTACTAAATGAAAATACTTCAAATCCTAGAGCAGATTTTTAATGCTATAAATTGTTTTTCCTGGTAAGCGCTTGTTTAGTAAGATTGTTTTTGCGAGATAGTGCTGCTGACCCAACCCTTCAAGCTCATGTGGCCTTGGAATAGGTTGTATCCGTAGAATGGTTAAGGACGGATCATAATAGTAACTATAACAAAAGTCACATATATATGAAATCAAATTAATTAAATAAAATGCTGGTCCGTGAGAATGGGAGATATTTTATTGGATAAAATACCTTTCTATTATCGATAACCATGACTAAATCATGATTTATGGCAAATTCTAGAATTGATTTGTAAATACTTCATTTCATCTATTAATTTTTGTTGAAGGTACCAACATTCATAAGTTAGTGGTCGATTTGACCGTTAAATGACGAACACTAAAAGCAAAGATGCAAGGTCTCTAGCAGTACAAAACAAGATACGCATTTTGTTATCGTGAGGAACTCATCAGGTGACAGTAAATAGATCCTAAACCTGATGTTCACTACAGGACTGGAATCCAGTGTCGTTCGCTTCAAACACCACTGCATTATACACTTAGTTGGTGAGTCCAGATAGTCACTAGCTTGTACGATTGAGTTCAAGATTCAAACATCTGACACAAAATTAATTAAAATTTACCGCATTGCACAGGTCAGTGGCAATCTGGACTAACTAGCTACGTGGATAAAGCGAAGGAGTTTGAAACGGCACTAGCTTTCAATCCCGTAGTGAACATCAACGCTGGGATGCACGTAAATCCAGCTGACGAGTCCCGAACAGAACGAAACGCGCGTCCTGGATTCCACTGCTAGCCACCATATATCTCTGCTTGTAATATACACCTTGGGTGAAAAAAGTTTATCAAAACTCATAAGAATGACTAAATACTCACGTCATGTAGAAACAAAAGAGACAGGACAGATAGTGTATTCAGACAGATTAGCGGTCAAGGGTTAGTAGCAAGCTAATACATGACTCATTTAAGCCATAGTAATTAATTAATATTAGGCCATATCACAGAAAATCATTTTCCAAATGACAAGATTAACTGGCCTAATTCATACGCCCGTGGTTTAGTAGTGGTTAACACTAAGATTTCAACCAACCTGTTGCAAGCTTGACACCTATTTCTGTTCGGACGACCGACCACTCTCATTCCAACATTCACATAAAACTTAAAATTCAGCAAACCTGTACCTCACAACCGAATTACTTTTATACACATGCTTGGACGAATAATTGGTCTCAGTAACATTCTAATCACTCCATACAATTATAAATTCATATTCCAAATCTACAACACCGACTCAGTTAAGTCAACACTTGTGTGCATACACCTGAAACTAGGTATCGTAAAACAATAAAACCATGAATCTATTACTGTAGGATCAAACGAGAAATTCACCGTAAACTAATCATTCGCTCTAAATGCTCTTCCTTTTTAAAACACAAGATAGTAAACACACAGTTCAACTGCTCTGTCAGTATGGTCATAAACAACCAAAAAGGATAACTCATAAATCTTCATTGATCCATGTTGTCATTACCTCGCATCAACACACTTGAAAGAAGAAATTCCCAATATCATAAAAATAATGTCAACAAACATTCTCAAAATAGTCAGCAACAATCACATAAACATGTAGATAAAAACATATCAAAACAAGTACAGTTTACTTTCAAAACAATTGTATCTACAAATACAGATTATTATGCACAACAATTCCAGCAAATAGTTACATTGCTTCCCCATATATCTAAATATATACATATATATGCATAAATACATTAACAAGGTTTCGCCACAGGACTTTCACGCAGCCAAGATTTATAGATCTTATAAAATCTATAAAATGAACGAACAGCATTTGGATAGACATGAAATCCACCAGTTTTTGATTCTTGAACAGGTGAACCATCTACCATAATAAAGAAAAAATAAGGTAGAAATCACTATTAGTATGGATGCTTTTGGAGATTGTTCAAATTAGAAAATAGACAAAACATCACAAACTGATTTTAGATAAACAACAACCGTTGAAGATTAAACAGCATCTGACAGATACTTTCACAGTATGTGCCTCGTCAGTCAGTAGTCGACACTTGCAACCGATCCGCCAATCGAGGCTGGCACTTCCACGTCTCACAACAAACATGCTACCTTCCGACCACTATCGGGTTCTCATACATTCTTCTTCATTACCGATTTATGTCAATTCGTGACATCATGTGAATATCATTCAATCACATAATTATACCAATCTTTCACAGTAGTCGTACTTCACTAGTCACATATTCTCACTAGAACTTCGAGATTCTTTCACTAAATGTCCGAAGTCTTGTTACTATCAAGAAAAAAGTCATTTCAAAGTACCTTCTATCAAGATTAACAAAGTTATTAAAGAAAATCTATCATTAAAAACTGTTAGTCATTTGAGCGTGTTTCGATCTCTGAGCTGCATCGTATAGCATTAATTGTCCTTCTCAACAACATCGTCGGCACATGCTTCGATAAAGCATCTTTCAAAACAAGAAAGGATGGAATCACAATGAATCTTATCCAGTGTTATACACCCACCAATGATAGCAATGACGATGATAAAGATCAGTTCTACGAGAGGCTGCAATCGATCATAGCGAAGTGCTCAGGAGACGCCACAGATGCCTTAGAAATATTGCTGGCGTCTGCTGGGATCACCGGGTAAGTAATAGTGAGGTTAGACGCATGGTATTAGGAAATGATGGTAAATCAGTTGATGAGGTTATGAATCTTCATCGACTGAGATGGTTGGGCCACGTGTTACGTATGCCTGAACACCGATTACCACGACGGGCAATGCTGACTAGTGTTGGGGATGGTTGGAAGAAAGTTAGGGGCGGCCAAACCAAAACGTGGCATCAGCGCTTGAAGACACTAACTTCTAGTTTGAGCCATGTTGGTAGATGCAGACTACTTGGTTGGGGTCCGCGTGACTATCGTAACCAATGGTTGGAGACTCTTGGTGACATGGCTCAGAATCGATCACAATGGCGTAGGTGTATACACTCTTTGTCTTCCCTCAAACTAAGAGATTAAAATCACTTCATATCTTTCTTACTACGAACCAATTCTTTCTTCTTGTACTATATTTCTATATGCAATCTTTCTCTTATATATTACCACCTTTGACCTAACCACTGCTATGAATCCGGTGTTCATCTTGTTGTGCTGATGCGGTATGGCAACCTGGACCGATGCATATATGTGCCTGGTCCTACGTTGTAGCTGACTGACTGCTCAGGAAACGACCTGACCATCCTGATGGGAAATCTAAACGCCAAAGTCGGAATGGACAACACCGGATATGAAGATATCATGCAACAACATGGACTAGGGCTCCAAATTCCCTGGTCTAGTCGAGGGTGGGGAGAGTCAACCCTCCCTTCTGCTCACTGCCTTCTTGCACCAGGCTTGCTGATAATGAGAATTGGAGGGTGGAGCCCGAATGTCGGGCACTTTAACCGGATTGGTGGATATGAGGGATCCACATAGAGAGTTGGAAAACCCTGATTTCATACCAATCGTGCGCATGGTCTCCAGGATCCTGAGCGAAGAAAATGGCATACGAACCTACCACTGGTCACTGCCTACCATGGAACTGCATCTCATCACGTCGCTCTACTACCCTGTGGATTAAACCTCTACATCAAAGGCTAATGATGTGGCCCTCTAGGAAAGCCACCTGCTTCAGTTTGGGCGCTCTTACAGTATTCCAGACCTCATGGAAATCGGATAATTTCTGTGGTGCATACATACTTAGTGTCTCCTTTTACCAGTGTTTACGTGTTTAAATAAATCAATACCTGGACTGGGAGAAAGGAATGAGAATGGTGATAGATTTTCAAATTTGTGTGCATTCAACAAACTGGTGATAGGTGGCACAATATTCACCAATAAGTATATACGCAAAGCTGCATGGGTCTCATCAGATCACACTACACAGAACCAGATAGATCAGATTTGCTTTACTGAAAAATGCAGAATTTCAATAGAAAAAGTGAGAACCAAGAGAGGAGCTTACACAGACGGCTAGCAAATAACTGAGATTCAAGAACAGAGAAACAGATTGGTAGAACACTTCGAGAAACTCTTAAATTGACCAGCTCCATAGAATCCATCGGATATCGAAGCAGCACACACAAACCTTCCTATAACTGTCACTACACCAACGACGGAAGAAATCAGCATAGCCATCAGACAAATGAACATTGGGAAAGCACTGGGATCTGACAATAT